ATCATGACCTGAGCCGAAGGCAGTCGCTTAACCAACTGAGCCACCCAGGCACCCGACATTTATTTTATAACTGGAAGTTTGTACCTCTTAATGCCCTGTATCTATTGCGTATTTCGTCCGTCCCTCCACCTCCCCTCTGGTAACCACCAGTTTGTTCTCTGTATTTAAGAGTCTGTTTTTGTTGTTGTTTAAGATTTTATTTATTTGAGAGAGAGCGAGCTAGAGAGTGCAAGCAGTGGCGGGGCTGGGGGGGGCAGAATGGGGCAGACTCCCTACTGGGCAGAGAGCTTGAAGTGGGCTCAATCCCAGGACCCCGAAATCACAACCTGAGCCAAAGGCAGATGCTCAACCTGCTGAGCCACGCAAGTGCCCCTTGTTGTTTGTTCGTTTGTTTTTTAGATTCCACATATATGTGAAATCAAGTGGTATTTGTCTTTCTCTGACTTATTTCATTTAGCATAATACCCTCTATGGTCCATCTGTGTTGTTACAAATGCAAGATCTCATTCTTTTTTTTTATGGCTGAGTAATATTCTGTTGTGTATATCAGTACACTGCATCTTTATTCATCTGTCATTGGACACTTGGGTTGCTTCCATATCTTAGCTATTGTAAATGATGTTGCAATAAACACAGGGGCGCATATATCTTTTTGAATTAGAGTTTTCGTTTTCTTTGGGTAGATACACCCAGGAGTGGAAATACTGGATCATATGGTATTTCTATTTTTAATTTTTTGAGGAACCTCTGTACTGTTTTCCACAGTATTTGCACCAATTTACATTCCCACTGACGGTGCACAAGGGTCCGCTTTTCTCCACATCCTCATCAACACTTGTCATCTCTTGTCTTTTTGATAGTAGCCACTCTGACTGGTGTGAAGTGATAGCTCATTGTGATTTTGATTTGCATTTCCCTAATGATTAATAATGTTGAGCATCTTTTCATGTGTTTGTGGCCATCTGTATGTCTTTTTTGGAAAAAATGTCTATCCAGGTCCTCTGCCCATTTTTTAATCATATTGTTTTTTTGGTGTTGAATTGTATAAGTTCTTTACACATATTGGATATTAACCTCTATCAGATATATCATTTGCAAATATCTTCTCCCATTCACTTTTTGTTTTGTTGATGGTTTCCTTTGCTGTGCAAAGCCTTTCTATTTTTTGTTTTTTATAGGAAGGCTTTAAAAAAAAGATTTTATTTATCTGAGCGAGAACACAAGCAAGGGGGAAGGGGCAGAGGGAGAGGGGGAAGCAGACTCCTCGCTGAGCACAGAGCCTGATGCGGGACTCAATCCCAGTACCCTGAGATCATGACCTGAGCTGAAGGCAGATGCTTAACTGACTGAGTCACCCAGGTGCCCCAAAACCTTTCTATTTTGAACATAAATGATTTTTAGTGAAAACTATATTCACTTCCCTAAATTAGTGAGAGGATGGCAGTTATTTTACTTTTTGCAACTCTCTTTAATATCTGGCTAAATAGAGGACATATGGATTCTCAAAATCTACTTGTGCTTTCTATCTATTGTTACAGGGTGGTTTGTTTTAAGTACTCTATATGAAGAAGAAAATCTAGTCTCACACAGATATATAGCTGGAAAAGAGTAGTATATTTATAGTCTTTTAAGGTAATTGTGTATATTTGATACTACCTCAATACTTGACAAATGGTAGTTTCTTAAGGGTTATTTGCAACGTGGAATCTGAAACCACATCAATAACTTTTTTGTACTATGTTACATTAAAATCCATTGGTCTGTTCTGCACTTTGGTTGGATCTTTTACCCAGGTATAATTATGTAACATCATGCATTGGTCATTTGGAAAATATTGATTCACTGAGCTATGCAAATGTTAAAATGTTGATACATTTCATTATACATTATAAAAAGAAGTCAAATTCCTTAATATGATGATTGGTTTCAATGGAAAAGTCTTGAGTTTTAAGTTTTGGGAAACTGAAGCTCATGGTAGCAGATACAAGTTTTCCAGAATTCTAATTTTTTTTTAATTTTATTATTTTTTTAGAGATTTTATTTATTTGAGAGAGAGAGAATGAGAGAGAGAGAACACAAGAGGGGAGAGGGTCAGAGGGAGAAGCCGACTCCCCGCTAAGCAGGGAGCCCGATGTGGGACTCGATCCTGGGACTCCAGGATCATGACCTGAGGCAAAGGCAGTCGCTTAACCAACTGAGCCACCCAGGCACCCCAGAATTCTAATTTTTACTTGAAAGCTCAAATTGGCAACAAATACTGTTGGGTTTTGGGGAACCTGGGTGGCTCAGGCAATTAAGTATCAGCTCGGGTCATGATCTCAGGATTGTGAGATCGTGATGAGACCAGCTTCTCATTCAGCAGGGAGTTTGCTGGAGATTCCCTGTCACCCTCTCCTTCTGCCCCCCCCCAACCATGCTCGTGCACACGCTCTCTCTCTCTCAAATAAATAAATCTTAAAAAAAAAAATACTGTTGGGTTTTCCCCTGATACTGTAGAGTCCCTTTGTTCCTTTTTGAGAAAAGTTCTGCCAGATACGAAAGTCTGATAACCATGGTTCATCCGTCGTTTTCAAGCATATGTGGTATTCCATGAAAAAAGCAGCTAGTTCAGCTCACAAGTCAAATGATTGCCTAAGTGCTTTCCTTGAGACACCGTCATACTTTGGTGCGCAGCAGACGTGCTCTGTGCGTACTTCCCAATTCATCACATAGAATATTGAAAAGCTAGGGCACCCGGCTGGCTCAATCGGGGGAGCATGCAACTCTTGATCTCAGGGTCATGAGTTTGAGTCCATGTTGGGTATGGAGCCTGCTTAAAAAAAATATTGAAAAGACTTGTTACCCAAGGATTTAGATTTAATACAATTAATTTTTAAAAACTGCTTCATCAAGGACATTCTTAAGTGAAGCTGGTATTTATTTTTTAAATTGCTAGTGCATGGTGGTGAAAATTACAGCCATTATTAGTACAGTTTGTTCCAGTGCCTTGTTATGTGCTAAGGCAACTTTACCCAGCATTGTTTTTGCACTGTCAGTACAAATGTTGAGCACTGTGAAGAAGGAAAATAATGTCTTATGTCTAATGTGTTATGAAAATAATCTTGAACTTACGGACTCCTGAAAGGGTCTTGGGCACCAGTAGGTGCCTGAGGACCACATTTTAAGAACTGCTAGTCTAATGGGTAATCGAGCCTCTCCCCAGAAGGCTCCCTGAGTCATCACTAGTAAGAGGTATGCGATTGGTCACAGTTTTTGGGGACATGGCAGGGAAGTGGTGGCAGGAGTAAGCAGCTGTCCTGGGCCGATAGCTGGAGGAGTTCAGACAGTCTGGACTACCACTTGTTGGGGAGGTTGTAGAGGGATTTGAAATCTAGGTTCCCAACTCACGACGCTAGGACATTGAATCTGGGGTGAGGGGGCCACAGTGGTATGCACTGGAGTTGCCAGGCCTCTGCGTCAGAGGTGATAATGCATCTCTATTTTCCAGTGCTTAGCATGGGCATGGCTTAGCAAATATTGAATGAATTAATCAGGAGAGTGATGGTAGGAAGTTGGCACCTTCCCTAATGGGCTGCTCTGGGGAGGACAAAGTACTACTTTATTTTTTAAAAATTTTTTAAAAGATTTTATTTATTGGGCACCTGGGTGGCTCAGATGGTTAAGCGTCTGCCTTCGGCTCAGGTCATGATTCCAGGGTCCTGGGATTGAGTCCTGCATTGGGCTCCCTGCTCCTTGGGAGCCTGCTTCGCCCTCTGCTTCTCTTTCTCTCTCTCTCTCTCTCCCCCCCCTCCCCCCCTCTCTCCCTCTGTCTCTCATGAATAAATAAATAAAATCTTAAAAAAATATATAAGTAAATAAAAATCTTAAAAAAAAAAGATTTTATTTATTTCAGAGAGAGACACAGCATGAGAGGGGAAAGGGTCAGAGGGAGAAGCAGACCCCTGCCGAGCAGGGAGCCCGATCCCGGGACGCCGGGATCATGACCTGAGCTGAAGGCAGTTGTCCAACCAATTGAGCCACCCAGGTGCCCCAATTCTACCTACTTTAAACTTACTCTAATGGGGTAGGAGTAGAAGATGCCGTGGCTTCAAGGAGGCGAAATGCACCCAAGAATAGTAGTGGGTGATGTTTGTGTTTTACTTGGAGGGAGAGACAAGGAAATATTCTGGGCCACAGGGCTGGTTAAAGAATCACGCATGAGAATCATGGCGGACCTGAGAGGACCACCACCTGGTCCATGCCGTGTGAGCAGAGGGGGTGAAGTCGGAAGGAAGCGGAAGTAACAGCTACCTCCCTGACCGCCTCCCTCCAAGTAACCTCCAGATTAGCAGGGCAACTGGGCAACTGGAATGGGGCTACTGGGACCCACCTGGCCATGAGGGGAGCTGTGCCCCCTGATGAAGCTTTTTCAATTCTTTTTCTTCCAGTGCTATTCTAGGCAGGAGTAACAACAAGGCCTGGGCGGGCCTACAAGTGCCCTGTCAGCAGTAGAACCCACCCGATGCGGCCTCAGGTTGGATTCTTTGCTTGTTAACAGCCTCGACCAGATCTGTGGTCCTAGGTCTCTGAGGCTCAGACACTTGTGACTTACGGGCTTATTCTTTTCAGCAAAACTGCTTTTGCAAACTTTGAATTTGGTCAGGACCTGGGTTTGTTCAAATGCTCTGAGCGGTTATGAAGAACAGAGTGGCCCTGGTAGCCACAAAGAGCAGCGGCAGCTGCTGTCCCAGCAGAAGAATGACACTTGGTGAGGCGTGGGCAGCGCTGGCCGGTGAGCTCTGGGGGACAACAGGAAGACTTCGCAGCTTCCTAACTATTGTGACTTCGGGGATCTGGGTGCAAGGAGGAGGAAGGGGCCGCAAGGGGCAGAATGCCACAATGTGCCCCCACTCCATTTCTGAGCCAGGGGAAGTTGGTGATAGAACTGAATCGCATTCTTTCCTCCACCTTGTCTTTCCCTCAGGGGAATCTCCCATCTCCTCACAAAGCCAGGCGGGGGGTCGCAGGCAGAATCACCTTTATTGGGAGCATGACCTGTTTGGGGCTGACAACCCCGTGGCCCCCACAGGTAGCTGGGGGTGGGGGTAGAGACAGCATCAGAGAAGGAGTAGAGCCAAGGCTGTGGGGACTGGTAGGGTGGAGCAGGCGGCAGCCCCGGCGGGTTCAGGTTCAGACCGAGGTGCTGCAGCGTTACTACTACTCTTAGAGCGTGAATACTCTAGGGAGGGGCAGGCACTTAGGGGGCCCTAGGGCATGAAGGCACTTGGAGGCAGGGAGGGGACGGGGCGTGTGCAGCCGGACCGGGCAGGACCAGGCCCGGGGTTTGGCAGGCACTTTGGGGAGTGCTGGGGTGGGGCGGGCCGGGCCGACCCCCAGAAGGCTTTGGTAGTGGCCCGCACAGTCTCTGCGCCGGGGCTGCATTAAATAGCAGCGGCTGCCCTAGTGCTCATCCCGAAGCTCTGAAGGCAGGAACTTGTACTGTTGTTGCCGAATCTGGGCCAGCTTCTTCCGCGCCTCTTCCAGCTCGCGCTCCTTCCGAAGCATCTCTTCCTGTGCGGCAATGATCTGCGGGGCGGAGATCAGGGGCTCAGTTCAGCGAGCGTGCGCACCAGGCGCGGGGCGGCCGGGGCCAGCGCCGGCGGCGTGAGCGCCCTCCTGGCCGTGTCCCGCAGTGTCTGGGGCGACGCTCACCTGGGCGATGCCCCCGACCATCTTCTCCTTCACCACCACTGTTTCGTTTTCTTGGTCTTCAAAGGCGGCGGCCTTCTGAGCCGCCTTCACCAGGTTGTCGGAGGCTCGCTTCACCGCGTTGCCGGCAGCCTGGGCAGAGGGAAGGCAGCGGGAGGCCGGAAACTCAGCAGAAGGAGTCACTCTACGCCCTCACTGGGACGCACGTCTGGGGGGGTAACGGTTTAAAGCGGCACCGCCCGAGGGACCGTCGGATGGCCAGGGTTCCTCACCTGAAGTCGTTTCATCGCCTCAGAGTCCTGGTCAGCCTTGACCTTGCAGGCCACGAGGAGCTGGGCTGTGGAGGCGGCCACCTGCTTGGCTGATGAGATGAGCTTCTCCTGGCTGGCGTGGCCTTGTACAGCGGCATTGGCGGCTTCACACAAATTGTTGGTGGCCGCAGCCACCATCCGGGCCTGAAGTGAGGAGGATTAGGTTAGACTATGCCGCCTGCCCTGGTCTTTCCGCCCCGCCCACCTCCGGCCTTCTCAAGCCTCCCTAGCAGAGGGACCTAGTGGGCACTGTGTACTCACAGCAGAAATGAGGCCCTGGGACCACTGCCCGTCATCCAGTGCATTGGCAGGAATGGCGCCCACCTGTGGAGGAAAGAGGAGGGCCTACTCAGACCTGTGCCCTCCGTGGGTGTGTAAAAGCCCCCCATCAACTGGAGGACCGGCCGCAAAGCGGCTGCTGTGCCCGTTCTCATGCGCGTCCGAGTACATACCTTCCCCTGGGCCACCAGTTCCCTCTGGGCCGCTGACGCCGCCTTTACCAGGGCGCTGGTGGCTGCTGCGATGGACTTGGCAGCTTCCAGGATCTGCTCCTCAAAGTTTAGGGACTCATCCGCCTCCTACAAGGAACAGACAAAGGTTGCAGAGAGAGATGCAAAGTGAAGGTGGGGGCATTCTGCCAGTAGGAGGGGCGGGAAGTGGGGGGAGGACTGACCTTGGGTTTGGCCCGAGGCTTCAGCTGCTCCAGCTTTTTGGCTGCAGCCTCAATGGCGGCCGCAGCCCCCAGGAGCTCGTTCTCAGCAATGACTGTGGGGTCCTCTGGGTCCACCCATTCTGTTCCTGGTGGGGCAAAGGGAGGAAGACAAGGGCCGAGGCAGAGCAGGGAGGTCAGGAGCACTGGGCAGCATGCTTAGTGCCCCCGGCACCTGTGGGGACTGCAGGCAGAGGCCAGCTCAGAGCAAGCCCAACCAGGAGGCAGAGATCCCCCCCTCCCCACGACAAAGACGGCCCTTCCCTCCCTGCCCCTGGTCACCCCTCACCCTTCATGGCCTCAGCAGCTTGGATGAGCTCAGTGACCGAACCAGCCACACGCTTTGAGTGTCCCGTCAACTGCTGCTTCAGTTCTGGGCTTGGCTTCTGCAGGGTCTGGGGAAGAGAGGCCAGGGAGCAGGAAGCATCAGATCTTAGCTTCTGCCGGAGCTAAGAAACAGGCCAACCATGCCCCCTGCCCCCTGCTGGGACCGCTCCACGCTGCAGCCCACAAACCCCGTGCCGCCTGCGCAGGTGCGCTCCTGGCCCCGCACCGCACACATGGGGAAGACAGTGGGGCTGTGTGTCACTCACCGGCTGACAGGGAGCAGGGAGAATGATGAAATGAGGAGAAAGAAGAGACGACGAAGGCAGAGAAGGGGGCGGTCAGGTGGGAAGAGAGGAGGTAAGAGAAATGAAGAGGAAGAGGTGAGCGGGAAAACCAAAGATGCTAAGAATGATGGGGCCCCAGTGGAAGGAGGCTTGGGCATGAGAACAGATTTGGGAAATAGAAGGTGGGGTGGGGGGGGAGACGTGAACAGCCGGCTGGAGAGCTGGGTGTGAAGCACATGGGGAGAGGACCGTACGCAGGGAGGCTGGTACGAGGAGCAGACAACGGCCGCCTTCCTTACCAGCAGCACGTGGTCCAGCAGCTCCAGGTAGCCGTTGGCACACTCCCGGCCATAGTGCAGGGCCCGAAGCCGCACATCAGGGGCCACTTCTGGGTGGTAAGCTGCTTCCTATCCCGTGGAGTTAGCGTTAGGGTCCCACAGAGCTCCAGGCCCCCAGAGCCCCTGCACTTTCTCCCCTCCCATGTTCTGCCCTAAAGCTGCCACACCACGTCAGACTTCCGCCTCACTATCAGGGTTTCTACCTTGCAAGCCCGAAGCATGTCTGCAATAGCACGACGACTCAGATTAGCCGTGGCAATGACATCCTCCTGGCGACAGGAGTTGCCAGCGGCAACAGCCTTGGCTGTTGCCATGGTGATACCCTTGGTCATGCGAATAAAATCTTCCGGGGTGGAGGTCTTGGCAGGTGGCTCTGGGGAACAGAAGACCTGTTGGGGGTTGAACAAGAAGAAAAATTGTACAGTGAGTGAGACTTACTTGTATAATGTAGCACTCTACGTGTATAAACTGGTCCATTGATCCCCGGGCTCGAGAGCAGGCTTTCACTGAGTACTTAGTGTAGATCAGGTCCTAGGAGGAGTTCACACATCACAGCTAACATAAGGCTGCTGGGCATTTCTGACCGAAGTGATTGGGGAGAGTTTATTTGTTTGAAATTTATATTGTTTGAAATTTGAGAGTTTGTTTGAATTACCTTTGAGCTGAGTTTTCATTCCTAAACTATAGAGAAGCCTTGAAGGGGTGAGTGGCAGAGGTGGGGCAAGGGGCTGGGTCTTAAGAGACCTAGATAACAGGAGGGCGTTGAATAACCAGGATGTCAAGTGACAGAGTATGGAGCAATGTTCTAGAATTATAGGGATGGTGGAAAAAAGGTTGTTGGGGCCTTGAATATCAGACCAAGGTACTTAGGATTTTGCATAGTAAGTAAAACCAGTTTTTTTGGATGTATGTGTTTATCCCGCCAATTATTAAAAATCAGCAGGTGGTAGATTCTGTGTGAGGTGCTAGGAGTACAGTGGGGAATAAAGGAGACAAGGCCTTTGTTCTCATGGAGTTTACACTATTGTTTTGGACATGGACAATAAGTAAACAAGCAGAAAAACGAAAGACTGAACTGGGCTGTGAAGGAAATAAAGAGGGTGCCGTGCTGAGAAATAAAAATGAGGTCCTTTCTCAGGTAGGTGGCTGGGGAAGCCTCTCTGGGGAGAGGACTTTTTTTTTTTTTTTCAGATTTTATTTTAGTTTTTAAAGTAATCTCTACACCCAAAGTGGGGCTCGAACTCACGACCCTGAGATCAAGCGTTGCAGGCTCCACCGACTGAGCCAGCTAGGCGCCTCTGAGAAGAGGACATTTAAGCTGCAGCCTGAAGGAGGGAGGTTGGCAGGGGCCGTGGGGCTTGGAAGGTAACGGTAAGGAGTGTGGATTTTACCACAGAGGCCAGGACACTCCCTAAAGGGTTTTAAGCAGTGAAGTGACATAACCTCGTTTACATTTTTTGGCTCCCGTGTACAGAGAGCGCATTGGAGGGGTGCATGAGAGGGCAGAGCAGATGGAGGCTACGGCATAAATACACCGTAGGCCTGGTGATGGTTTGGACGAGGTGGAAGTGGTGGGGATGGGGAAAGGAGAAAATGAGATCCGTTGGGAGGGAGCGCTGACAAATCCTGGCAATGCGCTTAGGCGTGAGGAACGAGAGAAAAGCGAACGTTACAGCTGTGTTCCTGCCTTTAGGATCTGAGTTATTAAAAGGTGCCACTGACTGAGATGGGAAGGACAAGGGAATGGTCAGGTTTGGGAGGCACAAAGTTAAAGAGTTTCAGTTTGGGCATCGCCGAAGACCGCATCAGAAAGGGGAATTCAGAAATGAGCAAGCTGAGAAGGAGATGAGAATGGCAGCAATGGGAGGAGAGGAGAGGCCCAGGCAAAAACCCCGCGCAGCAAAGTGGACAGAGAGCGGATGAAGATCCCAATCCGGGGGCCCACAGTGGGGGGAGGGGGGGCGGGACAGGAGGCTGAGAGGAGCAGGGGAGTGGAGGGCGGCTGGGAGGTCGAGCAATGGCCCGGACTGGGGACCAAGACCGAGAAGTCCCAGGTGACCGAGGGGGATTCTGCATGGCTGCAGGCGGCTCCCGTCGCAAGAGGAAGTGGCTTGTTGGCCAGAAGCTGGGAGGCCTGGCATCTCAGCGGTTTGTCAAACAGGCAGCTGAGAATAACTAAACTCAGAACTGAAGTCAACTTGCTAGAGAACGGCCGTGGAAGTGGTTAAGCGTGCCAAAGAACAGGACAGAGAAAGCAGTGGTCTGCACCGGCTTGGGCCGGCCTCCGCGTTTACTACGCCGAGGGTGGCTCGCCGACGCTATGGGAGAGGCGCTGGAGAAGCAACAACAGAAGCCACTGTCACGAGGGCCGAGGAAGAAAGAATTCCAGACAGGCTTGTTCACAAAGTCCAATGATCTCGAAATGTCTGAAGAAGATGAAAGCCAAGAGGAGACCACTGAATGTGGCGGCTCGGATGCCACTGGTGGCGGCGGGAAGTGGGAGGGGGAGAAGGCAGGCGTCCAACGCTAACTAAAGTAGGCGAGGAGGGGAAAGACACCAGCGCGGCTCACGGAAGCAGCGTGGCAGTGAGCGAGGAGAATAAGGAGATTCACAGTCTGTCACGACCCCTCTCGGACCCACGTCCCCGGTGCCCCAGACTCCCGCTTACCGCCAGCTCCTGCCGTATGTGTTCCGTGGTTGCCTCCAGGGCCCGTGTGCCTTTGGTGGCCTCATCTTCCACGGCTTTCACGGTCTTGAGCAACGACGTCACATTGGTCACCATCACCTGGGGGCATCAGAGGAGTTGCGGGGGGGTCATGTTAAGGAACAGGAGGATGCACAGCGATCCGCCCCCCCACTGATGCTGCGCTCCTTCCCCTCCAACCTTGGCAGAGTTCTTGAGCTGCCACACAGCAGGGTCGTCCCCGACTTTGCCAGCTGCGGCCTTCGTGGCACTGATGAGGTCTCCCAGGGCTTTGGCCACGTCTTTCACTGCGTTGATCAGCACTACCTGCGTGAGGGAGTGGAAGCTCTGGTCCGTGGGAGAGACGGGGGCAACAGGCGGTGAGTGCTTCTGGCCAGAAGTAGGGGCGTCGGGTGGCTACCTGTGTCTCAGGGTCCTCGGCTCCCAGGCTGGCTGCACCCAGCTTGACGACATCAGCGAGGCGGGTGATGGTGGCCACAGAGGACTGGGCAGCCTGGGCTAGCTTCTCCTGGCTCCCGGCCGCGTTCTGCACCAGGACCTTGGTGTCTTCCACCAGTACCTTTGCGGTCTTCAGAATGCCCTCCCTGAGGGAGGGCCCGGCTTAGTCAGCCCTTCACAGGCCTCCCCCAGCCCCTCCAGCCTCTCCCCCGACCCCTGCACACCCCCCACCTCTGGGAGGCCCGGTTCCCTCCTCACCGGTGGTCGGCGAAAGTCTCGGCCCCCTCGCGATTGAGGGTGCCGGCGGTGGCGAACATGATGGTGGTGTCGAGGTCGGCAATGATGCCGGACACGGCGCTGGCGGCCGTGATGCAGGCCTGAGTGCCACGATTCCCCGCCTGGAGCGCGGCCAGCACGTGCGAGACCTGGGGGAGGGAAGGCATGTGGGGACTCCGGCCGGTGCCTCGTGGAAGGGGATGGTCACTGGTGGCCGGGAGAAGGGACGGAGGAGAGGGCTGGGAAGGCAGGACGATGATGGGAAGGGCCACTGCGGGGTCGGAGAGCCAGTGCCCCAGGCCACGGTGATGAGCACAGTCACCTTCTCAGAGACTCTCCGGGCACACTCTATGAGCTCCTTCTTGGTGTAGGCGTCGCTGGGGCTGCACTGCAGGGCGCCCGCCTTGGTGACCAGAGCGGCACAGCCGTGTCCCAGCTCCTGCACGCGGTGCTTGATGTGGGCACCTATCTGCGAGCGGATGGGAAAGGAAGATGGCCTTTACAAACGGCACTCGGGGACCTCCACTGTGCTTGGAGGAGTCACGAAGGACCTAACAGAACACGCATCGTAGACTAAAGGGGTGGTGAGAAAAAGTGCCCAGCCTGCAGATTTCCTGTTTCATATCCTTCAGGCAGGAGGTCACCTCCTACACATGGAAAATAATAGCATGTAGGCACCAACTGGTGAGGATTATGTTAAGCCCAGTGAGGAGGTGGGGGAGAAGCACTTTATGCTGGGGAATTTGAATCAGAGGGCCACGGATTACGATTTGGCCTGGATGTGGTTAAGGAGGGATTTGGGGCTGGGGATTAGGTGTGTGATGGTAAGATCAAATTACTTGCTTTCTTGGAAAGCCAGGAGCTTAGGGAAGGAAGAACTTCTTGGGTCTGCAACAAGGAAGAACTAAGAAGGGATTACAGACCTGCAGGATAGCAGAGAAGTAGCCACACTCCCAGAGGGGTGTCGGCAGACCAGGAAATCTCTAGATTGTCAGCTGTCTCCTCTATCCCCGTGACTTTGATCCTGTCCCTACATGAGCCCTGATCACTCTGTAGTGGAGTGGCCCTGAGGGGGTGTTCCCCTTTCTAAAGAAGGTTAGACAGAGTGAGGGTGGGATGGCCCCAGAGGCTGACATGATGGGGACAAGGGCACGCTACTGCGATTTTCTGTGAAGGGCGGTGGGGAAGGCCTTCACGGCAGCTGCCCCCATGTTTACCTCTTCATTCTCAGCAGCCACAGCTGCAGGCTTGGCCTGGGAGGCCAGGCGGCCATAGTCACTGGTCAGCTGGTTAGCAAGAGGGCCTAGCTCCTCAGGGCTGGTGTTTGACTTGGTTACCTGGTGACAACAGAAGTAAAGTTATGCCCACACTAAGCTCCCTGGGGGTAGCCTTCTACACTCTCCCAAACTCACCATCTCTTGAACAGTGACAGCAATGGCCTTGGCTGTCCGCACCATAGTTGTCTGGTAATCCACAAAAGAACCTTCTGGTTCACCCATTGGTCCTTCATCTAGCTGAGGGGGGCGGATGGGGAAAGGAGAAAGACCATCAGGGTCTCTGACACTGAGCTCAGGGACCCTGGCCCAGGGGAGCCTCTGACCACAGGCACCCAAGGACTCTAACCTGGTTGATGGCCTGGGTGATGGAGTCCACCATGCCGCCAACAACCCCAGCGGCACTGGCTGCCTCGTTGAGGGTTGTCGTCAGGTCCTCTACGGCCTCTGTCATCATCTGCACAGCCTCCTCCAGGGCCTCCTGGGTGTGAGCCGCTTGCTGGGGGACAGAGCGAGTAAGTGGAGGGGGGGCTCTGGTATTCCTGCTTCTCTGACCTCTTCCTAGTAGCGGCCCCTCCTTCCCACTTTCAGTTACCTTGGGGTTCCCGCCAGCCTCCTTGGCTGTGTACAGCAACTGCAAGGCAGACTCTGCCAAGGTTTTAGTCTGGTCCAGGAGCGCCATCTGCTGCGGGTGGCTCAGGGTCTTGGAGGCAGCACCCACCGCAGCCAGGGTGAGTGGCTCAAAGTACTGGGCCATCTGGGACACCTGAGGCGAGGGGTTCAAGTGGAGGTCAGCTGGGCCAGGAACCCTCGCTTGCCCTGCCCCGGACTCCCCACCTGTCTCTCCGGGTACCTTGTGTCCCAGCTGGGAGGCTTCAGCCCTTGCAGCACTGGCCAGCGGCTCGATAAGGTGGGAGATCTCCTGCACTGCAGTGAGCATCTGAGTGTGCAAGGCCTGGGAAAGAAGCGGACTTGAGCCCTGACTGTGACCTGGAACAGGGCCTGCTACTTCCTTCCATACTGAACTCGCTCACTCCCCTGGGCATGTTCCTCCTGTACCCTTGACGTCTCTATGAGGCACACTCCTGGATCCCCCATCTTCCTCGAGTCTCCCGTCTCTCTCCCCAGATGCAACCTTCCGTATAACCCATTTCCCCCTTACCTCTTGAGAGATTCCCTCCCGAGGAGCAAGCTGTTGGCTGACAGCAGCAAGGGAAGCCTGGTCTAGGTCCCGCAGACAGCTGTTCAGAGCTGCAATTGCCGCCTCGCACTCCAGCTGCCCTGGAGCCTTGTCCCTGTAGACACATCATAGGCTCCAACACCACAAACCACCCTTTTAAAACAAGGCTAGTCTATCTTTCCGCAGATCCCCCAAATCTTGGACAACAGCCTATCCCATCTAATTGCACTACCCTCCCCCCGTTCTGCTCTATGTTCCCTAGCCACACTGGTTCTCTACCCCTGCAACACCTCATGCTTGTAATGAGCTTCTTGATGGAGTCTGAGACAGTCCGGGAGTGCCCAGCCAGCACCGACCAGCGCGGGGGGTCCCGGGGATTGACTGCTAGGGCCCGGGCTGTCTGGATGAGTCCCCCGGCACTCTCCAACATTGTCTTGGCAGAGACCACAATGGGCTCCATGGCAGCCCGGCCCTGGGGAGAGAGGAGGCAGGGAGGTGAGTCTCAACACTCCTGCAAAGATGAGGGGGCAGCCGGCCCATCGGTTTTCCCTTCACATTGCCTCACCTCAGGGCTGATCTGGGCAGGAATGCTGGCGAACTCAGGGTTGGATGCAAAGGCACTCAGATTGTCCACGGCCTCCAGCAGAGGGGCCGTTGCTGCTCGGCACTGGGCACGGTTCTCTTCTGTGAAAGCTCCGTCAAGTGCCTGCAAGGGGGAGGGACAGAACCTCAGGACTGACTGCAGGCAAGGGAGGTGAAGTGCAGGTGTCCTGGGCTAAGGGGGTGGGGAGAGGCTGGTGATGACCAGTATGGACACGCAAGGGCCTGGGCTCAGGCAGACGGGCTATGGTAGAAGGCCCCAGGGACTGATGCAGGGACTGGGGGAGAGGAGACTGGACGGTCAGAGGGAGGCTGGGAATTTCAAACACTGACAACCTTGATAGTCTTGACAAGATTGGCTGTGCTGTTGGCCACCTCCTTGGCTGACTGTACGAACTGGCGCTTGGCGGTAGGATTGGCCGTGCGAGCAGAGGCCAGGCGGCAGCTGTTACACAGTGCAGAGGTGTGCTTGGCCACAATGGTGGCTGCAGAGAGCACCTGCGGAGGCAGACACGCAGAAGAGCCACGGTGAGGGCAGGAGCCCTGCACGTTGGGGGAAGGAGACCAAGATCTCTGCAAGTCTAATTAGGAAAGTACGGAGTCACCTGAAAAGTGAAGATCTGGGAGACAGAGATACCCAAAGATGAGCAGGGTGTGGGAAGGGGGAGATGGAAGACAGCCACCCTGATGGAGAAACTGTAGTAGGGTAAGTAGGAGAGTGAACTCAAACTGTCTACAGAGAAGTTCTGAACTTAGCAGTAACTAAGAGTGACAAGAAACATGGCAGGATAAGACAGTTACCCCCAGAGAAGCTGTGTGTGGACGGTCAGCGATACACCCCCACATCTCCCACATCTCCCTCTTGGGGCAGTCCATCCTGGCCGGGCACCGTTTCCCAGACTTGCCCATAGTACCTGTTCCCTTAAGTTACCTGGGCCTGCGTACAGCCAGGCTCCCCCAAACTCTGACAGGCCATCTGAATTGCCTGGTTTGCACGGGCAAACTGCGTGGGCTCCACCAGTCCTTGCTGCCCAGCTTGGCTGTTGGGATCAGAGACCCCCACCAGATATGCAGCCTGGGGAGAGAGAGGGGTAGGGGTGGGGTGAGGAAGAAAGACCATCTCTCAGGTGGGACCGACCAGTGACAGTGGGGACAAAGGGGTACAGTAGGGCTAAGTTTAGTAGCCAGGGTACTATGTGAGCGGAGGTATTTTAACAAATGATAGTAGCACTATAAAAAAGAAAAAAACCTCTCCTGTTTTGTTAAATGTGTTTGAACATTTCAGAAGGTTGAAAAGGTAAAAAAAAAAAATAAAAAAGGAAAACCACATGGTAAGGGTTTCATCAAACTTCTGTGTAGATGTGTACCTGGGGGATTGTAAGGTAAAAAGTACTGCTTACTCTAAGTAAAAGTCAAAAAAGGTTTGGAAACCACCCTGGCACGCGCACACACGTGCACGCACGTAAAGCCCCTATGAAAGAGTCTGAAAACTGCAGGTTGTTACGACCACTGATATTTACAACACCTCCAAGCTTCAGAAATTTGGAGAGAGGGAAGGGATGGGTACAACGGTTGCCAACGATTTTTTATGATTAGAAGACCATCAGAAGGTTTGGTTTATACTTCAACACATGGTCGCTCTACTTGTTCCTCTTCATGCTTTTCCAGAGATAAGTCATACCATCTAAAATAGGCCACCCAACAGAACAGGGCAAAGGGAGGTAGGGGAGACTGAGGGAGCAGGCTGGTAGGTTTTCAGGGAAACAGTCTGAGATGAACTCTCAAGCCAGCCTGCCTTAAGGGTTCATGTACTAAAGCAAAATACTCTCACAGCGAACAGGTTGTTTTAATCTTCATAACTGCATAAAAAGGCAAAGCTAAGTGGTGACTCAATTAACTGGAACTGTAGTCACTGGTACTATTTTAATAAAGTGATAATTATGCGGAAAAAAAACTTGCATATGCCAGTCAGCATATACCAAGAAAGCCAGGGCTGGAAAAGGGCCACTGCTTGGACAGTGTCATCCTAACCCAAAGTACCAGGGGCTCAGGGGTGACAGCGACCAGAACTGTTGGTATTCTATGGTTGCTAACAAACATCTCCACCGAGGAGGGGAAAGAAACCCAGCCTCCACAGAGTTGGTTCTGCAAACATCACTTCTTGGTTATCTACAGGAGCGTCAGGCTGTTGAGGAGGCGGGGGAGGGAAAGCAGGGGAGCGTCTGGGGACTGTCGCAGGGGAATAACCTGTGCGGCTGCCTCAGTGAAGCCACAGAGGGCCTTGGAGGCTGTGGCGATGGCCTCCCCGAACTCAGGCAGGTTCCCGTTCTTGGCGTTTTGGGAGATGCCAGTCATGGCCTCACCCAGTACCTGAGAAAGAGAGGGTATCAAGAGAGTCTGTTCCTGTCCTCAGAGGGGCGGAGGAGTCCCTGGTTTGTCCCATCTTCCTGCCACCAGCCCTCTTTGGGCCCCCTGCCGCACTTACCTTTGAGTTCTCCATCACACTGTCTAGGCAGCCGAAGTAGGACATGTCATTGATGGGCTGGACCGGGTTCTCTAGGAGTTCCCGGACAGTCTGGACAGGGGGAGGACAAAGTAGGACTCAAGACACCTCCTTCACCCCCAGACCCAGAATACCATCCTCAGCCTCTACACCACTCAGCCTGCCGTGTGCCCACCTCCAATTCCCGCAGGGCATTGTCACACTCTTTCTGGCCTGGCGCCTGCTGGGTGCACATGGTGATGAGCTGGTTGATGCTGTCGGTCACCGCCCTGGGAGGAAAAGAAAGTTGAGTGGATGCACGCACAGGTCATCATTCTTGGGTCCTCTATACATGGGAAGTGTCTAACTGTTTCTCTTCCGTGTGTAACCACTCCTAAGCTGGGACTTCTCATGAAAGGTCCCCTCCCCAGTCTCTTCAACACTGCCGGGCTGGGCTTCCCAGCTCCTACATACCGGGCAGCTGCAGCCAGCTGACTCTTGAGGTTGGGGGCAGCAGGGTCTGTGGACAGGGCCTTGGCAGCCAGGAGGAGTTTGCTCGAAGACATAGAGATGCCCTTCAAGTTGGACACGACCTGGGCCCGGTCCTCCTGGCTCTGTTGAAGGTGAAAAGGTCAACACATTGTCCGGTCAGTCCTTTCTTATCTGTCTCTAAAAGGGCTCTTCCTTCCGTCCCAGACACTCAAATGTTGCTAGAAACTGGGGAGGGGGAGGGAGGAAGGGAGGGAGGCAGGCAGACAGAGGTCAGGACTGAGCAGTCACACGGGTACCTCTCGCCTAACCCCTGAGCCGGACCCTGTGTCTTTTCATACCGGGGCCTGTCCTGCCATCTCCACACCAGCTTCCAGGAAGGTGCTGAAGTCCTGTCCAAATCGACCTGAGGCTCGAGCCAGGTCCTGGGGGGTTCCCCGAGAAGCCTGTACCAGTTCTGTGGCTGCCTGATTCAGCCCAGCAGCAGCCTCATTCAACCGGCTCTGAGCTTCTTGAAATGTCCCGGTGCTGGGGGGAAGCTGCAGGGTCAGAGAGAAAGTCAGAAGCGAGCATGGGGAGCGATGCGAGGGAGAGTTTGGTCAAGGAGTGCTGGGAGGTGGGCACAGAGACTGGGAGTAATGAAAGGCGGTAAATCTGGGAAGTCAAGGTCAAGGAGAGGTCCAGAGGTGGAAGGAGAAGCTTGGAGTTCTTCAGCTCCTACGTGCCCCCACAGCCCTGGTCTTCCTACCGAGTCACTCAGGAGTCGCTTGCTGGCGTCTCCCACTGCTCGCAGGGCATTGTCCACATCTCGCTGGCCAGGCAGGCAGCTGACACAGCGGTTCAGGGCCTGGGTCACTGCTTTAGCCACCTGAGGTGGAAAAGGAGACAGGCGTTGCCAAAATGGAAACAGTTTGGGAGAACCCCTCCTCCACTCATGGGGACATGGGAAATAACTGATCTACTGCCTTCGAAAGTGAAGAGGAAAAGGGGTGCGTAGCTGAAGGGGCTGAAGTTAGGGTATCAAGTGATAGTGATCAAACTGTCTCGAATCTGGTGTTCAGCTAGGCCCCTGCCTCAGGCTAACTGAGACACTCCTACCAAGACTGAGGGAAAGGGTGGGATCCAGACAGGAGCTGTCAAGAGCAGACCTGGGAAGGTGCCTATCAGTGTGGATGAGATTTTGCTCCAGGCAGGCTGGGCCGTAGGGGGAAGTGGCCTCTTCCCCAAACCTGACCTGGGCAAGCCGCTGCTGGCTCTCAGGGTCCCCCGGATGGCCAGCTGCCTTTTTTGCTTCCTCAATGAGGCTGCTGGCTTTGTCCAGAACGTCGCTGGCTGTGTCAAGCACAATGGCCTGCACTGCAGGATCTGACGTCAGGGCAGCTACACCCCGAGCAGCCTGGGCCAGTGACCGCAGCCCACCTGCCACATCCCGAGCTGCGATCCCTGGGGAGATGAAGGGAAAAGGCGCCTTTACTGCTCGGCCCTGATCCCTGTGGCGTCCTCTGTCCGCTCCATCCCTCCTTCAGCTCCTTTTCCCCAGCCCCTCCACATACCTGCGTAATTCTCATTGCCCTGGGCAACCTCCCCCAGCAGCTGGGCAATGGCGGAGCTCACTGCTTTGGTGCTGTTACCCAGGTCCTGGGCACATTTCTCCATCTAGGGATGAAGTGGGAGACTCAGGGGCAGAAAGAACTGGGAAATGGGAACTTGAGAAGCGAATTGGGATCAGTTGGCAGTTTAAATGAAGGTTTTGGGCAGCTCTGGAGTGCAGGTGGGAAAGAAAACCTCAGGGTTTGATTAAGAATGAGGTTTTTTTTTTTTTAAAGACTTTATTTATTTAGAGAGAGAGCAGGGGGAGCGGCAGGCAGAGGGAGAAGCAGGCTCCCCGCTGAGCAGGGAGCCCTATGCGGACTCGATCCAGGACTCTGGGGTCATGACCTGAGCCGAAGGCAGACGCTTAACCGACTGAGCCACCCAGGCACCCGAGGTTTTTTTTTTTAAGTAAGATTTTATTTACTTATTTGACAGAGAGAGAGTGAGAGAGCACAAGCAGGGGGAGCGGCAGGCAGAGGGAGAAGCAGCTTCCCGCTGAGCAGGGAGCCCAATACGGGGCTCAATCCCAGGACCCTGGGATCGCGACCTGAGCCGAAGGCAGACGCTTAACCGACTGAGCCACCCAGGTGCCCAAGAACGAGATCTTAAGAATACTTACAGTCTCCCCAGGTAAGGGTTTAAGCTTGCCATCTCGAGCGGCTGCCTTCACTTCCTGCAGGTCTCTCTCTAGATTCTGTACCACACTCAGTGCAGAATCCATCTCCAAAGGCCCACACGCTTCCTGAGCCTACAGTGATAAGGGGGTTTGGGTACCAGAGGTACTGCTGTGTCCCACTGATGCCCCAGGTTATACAATTACCCCTATTTTAGGTTATTTTGCAGAGTCCCCATCATCCCAGAACTCCACCCTCATTCTCTTTCCTTTTTTTTTTTTTAATATTTATTTATTTGAGAGAGAAAGAGAGCATGTGCATGTGCATGTGCATGCACGCACAGCAGAGAGGGAGAGAGAAACTTAAGCAGACTCTGCGCTGAGCGTGGAGCCTGACATGGGGCCCGATCTCATGAGCCTGAGATCATGACCTGAGCCGAAGTCCAGAGTCGGATGCTTAACTGACTGCGCCATCCAGGCGCTCCTACCCTCACTTTCCAAAGCCAGCCAGCTCCCATACCTTCTGGGCAGCGGTACGAAGTTCGGCCAATGCAGTACCAAGGTTTTTAGCACACTGACTCAGCTGCATGGCCGAAGCCTGGTCCTGAATTGTTGGCACGGATGCCTTTGCAGCAGCCACCATCTTCCCACCTGGCTGTTGGGGAACAGGCAGGCAGATGAATGTACCATCTGCTTGGGTACGGGGACTGATGATGGTTAGGACACGGTGAGTGCTGTGGCTCTGTCTGGGAAGGAGGCTGTTGGCGGAGCTTTAAACTGTGGGTGATCTCGGGGACTCAGAGGGTGGGAACGGTCTTGTCTGAGAGGCGGGAGAGGGTGCCTTGCCTGCAGGAAGCTCTGGCTTGCGGCAATGAGGGCCAGCTGAGCACTGGGACTGTCCGGCTGAGCCTGGCTCCCTCGGACGCCCTGCACCAGCAGTGGAATTTGTTCGGCCACAGCCTGTGGGGAGAAAAGGTCATGAGAGCCACCTCGCCACAGACCAGGGGAAAGTCTCCCTCGTCCCCCGCCTCCTCCCACTGAGTCTCACCTTGCAGCTCTGCACCAGCAGCGGCTGGGGGCCGGCAGAGGCCTTGGGGGTGGAGGCTGCATGCTGGGCTGCGGCGATGGTCTGTGTGGCTGAGGCCGCAGCCTGTTTGGCTGCGTGCTGTGAGGACAGGGTGGTTGGGACAAGCCCCGGGCGGTCCCCCACCCGGTTCCTGCCCACCCTGGCTGTGCTACCCCACGAGGAAACGCCGATCGAGTTTCTCTCTGCACATCATTCCTCCCACAGCACCCACACTCTTGCTCCCGGTTCGCTCGCCAGCCTCACCTCCAGGCGCTGCACCAGCTTCTTCTTGATGGCATTCTGCGCAGCCGCATTGGTCGCCATGCGCAGACCCTCGGCCGCCTCACGCAGCCGCTGCTGCTGCTCCTCACTGTCAGGGTGGGCGGCCGCCCCCTGCGACAAGTGGGGAGACATGCGTCCTCAGCGTCCCTGCGGCCCCCAGCTAAGCTCTGCTCCGGCCCTTCCAGACTCCCAACAGTTTCCCAAGTCACTTCTAACTACCCACACTCAAGGTGATCACAGCTGAGACGAGCTGCCTTGGGCAGGCGCGAGGGAAGGGCAGGGGGGCCCGGGATTCCCTGTGGACCCTCTTTAGGTGGAACTATGTCTTCTTTCCCTCTCAGGGGCAGGAGCCACGTGTCCTTCCCGACGCCCCACAAAATGCCACTGGCAGGTGAGGGGTGAGGAGGGCTCTCTGGGACAGGGAGGACACAGTGCAGAGCAGGCATCTCAAAAATCCCATCTGGGGACCTGGTTACTCCCGCAAACTGAGGAGCCCCAGAGCTCAGGGAGTATGAGAGCCTCTTGGCTTCTTCTGGATAGTATTCTGTACCTTGGGTCCCTGTGTGCCCTGCCTCGTCTCTCTCTGCACTGTTGACTGTGCATTCCCAGGAGAGACCAGGAAGCAGGCAGCAAAGTAGGGGAAAGTAAGGACAGCAGACCTTGGACTTGGGGGAGGGAAAAGGGCACGGCTGCCTTGTCAGTGAGCGAGCACTCCAGCAGGCCGCACTGGCTCGAAGCCTGGGCCGCCATCTACCTGAAGCCTGGGGTGCATTTCCTTCCTGAGCGCTTCTATTTGTTCTCACGTATTTCCTGCTTTTCCTGGGTCCCTCCCAGCAGGACAGGGCGACCATCCAGACGCTTCCCTTCAGGTCTCAGTCTGGGAGTGTGCACAGAAGACTTTGTACCTTGGCAGCCTCCACCATCTTGGCTGTGGCATCAGCCAGGATCTTAGCGGCGCTTAATAGCTTGCGAGAATTCTCCAGATCACTCTCCCCCTCGGCATCAGCCTTGATGGCATTGACCAGGTCAGAGGTGGCTTGGGCTAGGATGCGGGCCTGTCGTACCATCTCACCTGAGAGGACAGGACACCATCAGGTAAGGAAGCCAGAGATACTGCGAGGGTGCCGGGGTGGGGGAAGAGGGTGCAGACAAGGTAGACAGTGCTCTTGAGAACAGTTAAAGAGACACAAAGGTTCTCAAAGGGATTCCCCTGGAGTTATTGTTTTTTGAGTTTAGGATCTTGGAGAGGGAGATTTCCTGGTGGGCTTTCATGGAAAGGAAGACAGTCTCTAATGGGTATTATCGGCAAATCGTCTTGAGAAGGTAAGATACTCCCTGTGAAGGCTTTTAGGGGTGAGCGGGTAGGGTGGAGTGGGGAAGGCTCTCTCTTAATAATGTCACCTTCCAACCTTCAGCTGTGTTTGTGTACACTACTGTATATTCTCTAAACGCACCAGAGAAGGCAGAACAGGGATCATATTCCTGCTTTACAGAGGAGAAACTGAAGGTTTCCAAGAGACTGAACACCTAGTCTACCGTGCTGAGTCCTAAGGGGGAGGTGGCGGGTCTGCAAGGACTGAATGTCCACTGTGCTCAGGGAGCCTCACTGGGGTTCACCGTCTTCCCAGGAGTGGTGCCCTTACCAGCATCACCCATGGAACTGAAGATGTTCTCAGTGACAGTGAGGATGGTGTCAGTGGCCTGGTCATAACGGCCAGCAGGCCCAGCGCCCGTGGCGTGGGCCTTCACGTGCTGCAGCAGCTCATTCAGGGCCTGGGTGACAGCCGTGGCCGCTGCCCCGACCCCCCGCAGCAGCTGCCCATCCTCTGTGGCTGCCTGGGAGGCGGACACACAGCCCTCCACGGCTCTGGCCACCAGGCGTCCGGCCTCCACCAGCTGCTCTTGGCAGACAGGTGAGCTGATCGTAGGCGCCACCACCTGCAGGCAAACTGCGAGTAAGAGACGAAGGCCACGGAAAGGAGTCGTGAGGTGGGGTGTTTGTGACAGTCACTGGGAGAGGTAAGGAGGAGCTGGAGAGGTGCAAGGAGAGGCCCTCGTGTGCGGCACCATCACCCTCAGCACAGGCTAGCGCAACCTCTGGGGCTCACCTTGGTACAGGCCACCAGCTGGGAGGTGGACAAGGCACACTGTGTTGCTGCAGCAATGACCTGGGTCTGAAGCCCCGAGTCCTCTGTCCGCTGGGCCACACTCTTGGCCTTGAGGACCAAGGCAGCTGCAGCACTTGCCACAGCCTTGGCTAGCTGCATTAGTACGTCCTGTGAGGAAAGGGCTGTCAGCAGGGCCTGAGATCGGGCTTGGAATCCATGGACCCTTCTCAGAGGCATAAGCTGTTTCATTATTCCCACTGGCTCCAATCACAGGACAGTGTATGCAGAAGCAACCAGAAGCTACCCCAAGCCCTTGCCTCGAGCACCCAGTAGGACAGATTCCCTCACCGAGGAACAAACCTACACCGAAAGAAACAGAGCCTACACCAGAGGGAGAAATGCATGAGGCGGATACACTCGGACAGCGATGGGGAGGGAGGGGCAGTGCTGTTACACTGGGATGGAGAGAGGTACCTCTTGGGGTCCCTCCCACCCCCAGCTTCTTTCCTCCATTTCTTCTCAATCTTGGTTGGAAGCAGTCACCCTGGAGTACGAGACCCTGTACAACCCTCCCTGGTCCCATTTTCCCAAGCCCTGCCTGTCGCATGCCTACCCATCTCCCATCATGGTCTGCTCCCCCAGGAGGCTGGGGGGTAGAGGTGCAGAGCGAGTGTATGCGGCTCAGAGAGGACAAAGCTGGGAAGGCCCAGGCCAGAGGCCGTTACCGTGGGGGAATCGGGGGGAGATCGAGCCCCAGCCCCTCTGGGTGCACATATCTGCGTGGGAAATCCAGGATGACAAGTCAGCTGAGGAAACTGGCATGGGGTGGGGAAGGGGGGGAGCTAGAGGGTCAGTGTCCTTAGGGTGGCATGGAGGGGGCTTCAAGATGTTAAGTTGGGACAAGGGCTATATATGGGGAAGCCAAGGAAAAGATGACAGGCGGCTACAGAGTATCAGTCAGCCAAGGGTGAACTAGTAGATTTAGTCTGGACTCAGGGGTTCTGAATTCTCATCCCCCCAAAAAGGGACTGGAGGTTCCCAGTGTCATTCCCTGCAAACCAGAGGTTCAGATTGGCTCTCAGAAGTCAATTTGTATTAACAGGATTAGGAGCTAGATTCAGGGTCAGAGATTACCTCCGAGAAGCTTATGTTCTGGGGCTGGGTAAGTCACTAACCTGGAAGTGGGGGTCAGTATCACTTTCCCCAATTTGCTGCAACAGCTCCCCACTGGCCTGGCCCACATTCCCAGCCGCTTGCAGCAGGTTCTGACGGGGCTGTGGAGAGCGGACACCAGTCAGAAGCTGCCCAATCCCTGCCCACGTGCCCCTGGGTCCTACACGCCCACGGGCCCCCCGCCTCCACCCCGCAGCCTGGACCGCCCCCCGTCTCCTCTGGGCTCTCCTCCCTAGTGCCAGCCCGGGGCCCCCGACCTCAGCACTGGCTGGTTGGGCACTGCGCAGCAGCTCCGACACTGCCCCGGCGAGGCCCTTGGCGGCCTGCAGCAGGGGCCGGCCGCTGCCGCCTTCGTCCTCCAGCAGGGCAGCGAGCAGCTTCACGCCGCGGGACATCTCCGTGAGGTTGGAGGAGATGGTGGTGACCGCACAGCCCACTGCTGTATAGTCTGTCTCCGCGGGGTCCCCTGAGGGAGGAGGAGGAGGAGGAGGAGGAAGGGGAACGCGAGTGAGAGGTGGGCAGGCCAGACGATGGGCCGGGGAGGCGCACGGAGGCGTCAGTCACACACACATCCTGACACAGTCTCTTCCATGAGTCAAGCTGCGGTCCCACCCAGAGCCCATCACGCTCGTGCTCCCCCGTGCTCTTTCTCCCCCTCCCCGTCACACAGAGAACTTGGGAGTCCGGCTTACCTGCTGTCAGGTTCACCACGGAGGCGGTACCGGCTGTGATGGCATCGACCTGGGAGTGGATCTCATGCTTTGATTCATCCATCTTGTTTTTACGCCAGGCCTTAGAGGCCTGCGAGAGAGAGAGTGAGAGAGAGAGAAGAGAAGCAAAGCTCAGGATCTGCCCTGGTTTGGTTAACCCCAATGCCTCCGGGGAGTCCCAGCCTCAGCGCGGCTGGCCTCTCCTCCCTCCCATACTCACGGCATCCTGGCCCAGGGGGGGCAGAGTGTCAAAGTCATCCAGAGTGGCCTGGGCAGCTTGCACAGCCTGCATGCTGGAGTTAATGGTCCCAGTGAGTGCCTGCTGGGCTGATGTCTACAAGACAGAGGAGGAGGAGAAATAGGGAATGCTTAGAGGCAAGAGAAGGTAAAGGAGAACTCGAGGCTAGGGACAGGAATACAAACAGGGACGTGGGAAAAAGACTGCCTAGCTCCTGGCTGGGCCCAGCTGATGGGCGGGGGCGGGGGGAGGGGGGGAGAAAGGCCTGGTACCCTGGTGGCAGCGGATGCACTCTTACCAAAGGGGGCATGTGTCCTCGGTGCATCTGGCCACTGGTAATCTGCTGCTGGGCCGGTGGCATGCTGCCCACCTGGAAATTCTCAGGACCAGAGGCTCCGGAGCGCATGATAGCGGGCAGGGCCACAGAGCCGTGCTCCACTTTGCCCACCCGGTTATACTGCTGCTGCAGGACTGTCGACCTAGAGAGGGGACACCCTGGGCAGCACTCAGAGGACTCTGTGGTCTCACCCCCTTCCCACCCAGCTCTACTACCTTTGCAGGTCCTGTGGTCTAGGGGGCGTGTGAGGTCTCATGAGAGCCCGTAACCGGTTCAAGAGCCGTCCCACGGATTCCCCACCCCTCAGCAGTCCCTGGAGGCAGGCCTTGCCGTCCCTGCCCCTGACGGATGGGATCAGCCCAGCTCCCTTCGTACTTTTTGGGGGACACTGAGTCCTCCAGCATAGTAGACTCCTCGTCTCCCTCCAGCCCAAAGTGATCCTTGCTTTTTTTCTGTAGGAAGGAAAAAGGAACAATTAAAGAAAAGAGAGGCAGGGAAACGGCAGCCTCTTCTTTCCCCTAGTCAGCCTTTTTCCAGAACCTGGGTCCCCACTTTGAAAGGACCGGCTTGGGTAGAAGGTGGGGTTAGATAAGGAGATGGTTGGGGCGGGCACCTTTTTAAGGATGATATCAATGTAGCCGGCGATGAGCTGGGCGATCTGCTCCCCTTCCGTCGTCTGTACTGAGTAGTAGCCATCTTGGTAGTCCCCGAAATCCTAGGGTGACAAGGTGGGAGCTTGGTGGGAGGGGCAGCATCTTCCCAGGATGGAAAAGGGTAGGATGGGAGCCCCATGGATGAGCCGGTGAGCGCTTCCCCTGCCGACAGCCCTCTAGGGAGAAGCCCGCCCTTCTTCAATTTCCTCTTTCTTCATTTTCCTCCCTGGAGGGCAACATTTTATTTCTGAGAAGCAGTCTTTATGCTACATAGTTTCACACGAATGCCATCCAGGAAATCTCTGTTCTCTCCCCCTGACAATAAAGTTGGAAGGACACAAACATTTATCATTGAAATGACCACAATTGAGGGTTAGCACTAGTATCCAAAATGGAGAGATAGCCTTTATGAAGTTCTCATTCCCTTACTGGGGCACTTCATCAAGATGGTATCAGTTTCCAATCCAGCACACCAAAATATAAAGCTGGGGGGGAAACTATTATATAGTTGCTGCTGAAAGGGAGGAGGCTTATTTTTTTTCTTTCTATCACCTTTTTCTTCCCTCTCCCCAAGTTTCCTGCGAGCTCAACTTGCTGGTGACGGTTCTGTCCTGTTGATTTTAAAGACTGTTTCATTTAAGCATCACTTACTCTCCAGGAAACCTCCTCTACTCTGATCTCCATGGTCCTGTAATCGTTACAAAGTTCTCCCTTTTTCTGGAGTCACACTCAGTGCCCTATCCCAAGGCGGGGGGAGAGACCTCTGCAGCTGCCCCCGCCTGGAAATTCCAAAGCCCCTTCCCCTCTGGGCACCTAGACTCACCAGGGTGAAGCTCTTGGGAGAGGCAGCCCAGCGTTTGATGTTGGTGAGGCTCCACTCCTGGATCACCTCTTTGGTCTTCTCGTCCACTCGCATGACACACTCCTTAGTGATGCCCAGAAGCCTGGGCACCAGCTTGTTCTTTCCTTTCATCTTTTCCTGTGAGGCAGAGGTTGTCATTGGTGCTGTACCCAGAGGTCACGCAGAGGAGTGAATGAGCACATCAGATCTCGACCACAAGGGGGTGCTGAGGAGCACGGGAGAGCGTAACTGGGTGTCTGGATGGAGCCAGAACAAGCTCCTCGAGGGAAAACACAGGGTCCGGAGTGAAGTGGTGGCAGAGGGCTGACAACAGGGCAAGTTTTCACAAGGTCAGAGCAAGGCAGAGAACGGGACTCGTAGGGATGATGGAAAATGTGAACAAGGGCAGGGCCAAACTTTGAGGGGAAAGGGTAAGAGCGGGAATAAGGAAGGCAGTGAGAAGGGTCTGTAGCCCACCTTAACCAGAAAGAAGGAGACGCCATATGTCTTGAGGGAACGGGCTAGCTTCACGTAGCGCGCCTTGGCCTCGATCTCACTCATCTGCCCACAATTCCTGTGTGCCTTGGAGTAGGAAGTGGGAAAAAACGTTTAACAAAAGGCAGGAGGACAGTGTCACAGACAAAGAGTTGCGACGTTAACTACAATGGGAGCGTACTGTGGGGGACACAGGAAAGATTAGGGGGTGCAGGATAGGAGAAACGAGAGGGTGGCAGGCTGGGGGCTGACAAAGGGTACGCAGAAGCGACAGTTCAAGGAATATAGTTAAAGAACTTGCAGATGTTCTGGAGACATAAACAGATAAGAAGTAGAAGGTCAAACAGAAGGCTTTTTGGGTTGAGTGTCCAAGAAGTGGAGATAACACGTTTGTACAAAGATATAGTTTTCCGGGTAATTTAAGGCATACTGTCTCATTTGATTCTCCTATCAATCCTACCCAGGGCAGGTACTGTCATCCCACGTTAGAGGCAAAGAAAAGAATACAAGAATATTGAATTGAATTCCACAGCAAATGCAGTGATGGAGCTGAGATGAAAGGCCCAGGTCTTCTGCTTTCTTGGCCCAGGAGAGGTGGGAGGGCAGCTTGGTGGGTGGAAGCAGGGTGGGAGGGGACAAGGAAGGGGCAGGGGTCCATTCAGTCAGCTAGGATTAAGCAGCAAAGCTCCCGGGGCATCCCCAACACTTTCCCCTACCCCCATTCACCTGGAAGATCTTACGCTCTCCCTTCTGCTTCACATACTCCTTGGGCAGGAAGTCCTTCAGGCTACACCAGAAAAGGGAGGGTCAGCATGTAGTGGACAGCATCAGGGATATGTGGGCCATGGACTGTGGGCCTGGGGGTGTGAAGAAATGTCTAGGACAGTGTTATCTTTGGGGAGAAGGAAGGCTCGAGGGAACAGAGTCGGGATTATCCATGAAATCGAGACGACCTAGCATGAGCTCTTGAGCGCAGCCTGTGTCTCTCCCTACGGGAAAAAGGGACTGAGGGAACCTGAGTTGCAGGCTCAGTCCCTGAGGAAAAGAGGGTCCAGGGCACTACTGCAGGGAACCAAGAGCAGAAGGAACTCAGTAGAAGGATGACCATGCACGTAGGAAGCTAAGCAAGACACGTTGAACTCTACACATTCTGAGGAGTGTCAGTGGATCAAATTTGTGAAGCTTTCTATTAAGTCTATGTTCCCTATGAGGAGAAATGTTCTGTTTTTCTCTGGCTACTGCAGTAAAATTCTTCAGAGGATCTCAAAAAGGTTACATGCTTGCTTGAGAGGTATGGGGCAGAGGCAAGAGATTCTGGGCTACATTCATGTTCCACATGGGGCCCGTGAGGAGACAAACAGCTGACAGCAGCAAAAAAGGTACCTGTGTGGGTCAAACCCTGGTGCATCAGAAAAGGAATAGAGAGAGAAGGCCTGGGGGGCGGGGCAGGGCTGCTGGGGTCACAACGGCAATGAGTCCTGGGCCCTGACAGGGTGTGGGATGTGGGTCACTCACTCGAGGAAGCCAGCCTTGTGCTTCTGCTCATTGTGGGGCCCAAACTGGATCTGGCACTGGAAGCCAGCAAACTCACAGGCCTTGTCAAAGGAGACAGGGTGGGAGCCATTGAGGATGTCATCTCGTGCCTGGAGAACACAAGGCGGTGGAGGTTGTGTGTGGGTGCAGGGATACCCTTCGCTGTGCTTCTGCCCCCTCTCCCCACCTCCCCTACCCTGGACAAATCCTCTCCACACCTGCACATAAAGAAGGTTCAGCTGTACGGGGTCCCGGGAGTCCACATTCTGGTCTGAGTAGAAGAACTTCCTCCGCAGCAGAAGCGTCTCATGCTCCTCCACTCCCTGTTCCCTCAGCGTGCGGCCATGGTCCAGCCAGTTCACTGGGACACAGAGTCCCCTCAGTGCCAAGCCCTTAGGGCGCCTGTCTTGTCTGCTCTTTGCCTTTTGTTTATTCTTCATCTCCTACCTTCTCTCACCGCTAAGTTCCATGAGTAAGACTTTGTTTTACTACTGATGCATCCTGCATCTAAAACAGTGTCTTCCAAAAGCAGATTTTCCATAACTAATGAATATAGAGCTGTCCCCTGCTCCCCCGACCCCGACCCATTTCCAGGGCCCTCTTTTTTTCTATTTCCGCTTACACTCATCATCCGTGTGCAACTTCTGCTTTAGTTTTTCCATCTTCTTTTCATCTCGCAGCAGTGTCTTGTCCTTTCGTAAGGTCCCTGTCACCTCCTCCTTCTTCTCTTCCATCAGCTCTCGAACCAGTGAATATTCATCATGGTTGGTGATGCCTGGGGGAGGGGGAGGGGGAGGGGTTGGTAGCATCCCAGGCACTGCATCCGTGTTTTCTGGCAGAGTTGGAGCCTCCATTCCCCAGCCCTCAGCCCCACTGAGACCCCTTACCAATGCGGGCACAGATGGTCATGAGCATGTCGGTGACAGTCTTAGAGTCATCCACCATGATAGTCTTCACAGTTCCATCGAGCATACGGATTTTCAGGGGCCTCTGTTTCTTCCTGTATTCCATGGTGTCCTGTTCAGGCAGGAATAGCAGGAGGGGCCCACTTGAAGCTAGAGGTATTACTTCCTTTTTCCGTGGCCAGAGGGGAGGAAAGTAGATTACTAACAGCAAGACTGGGGTGGCTCACTCAAAAAGCAGATTATTTTGACTGCCTGTGACAGAAAGCCTGGAGAGGGTCAGGGACAAGAGATATGGGTGCTGAAAAGAGGAGGTGGAATAGGGGATGTTGGTGGTCCTTGATGAAGTGATACTCACCCCATTTCGGAGCATGTAATAATCCAAAGCTTTCCCAGCCTCCAGCCATATCCCTTTTTTGGGGTCATCATCTGACAGGAACAGCCCAAAGTCGCTGGCTAAAAGAGAGGATGGATCACCTCAGACTTACAAGGACCCCAGTGAGGCTGAATCGCTGCACAGTTGCCCCTTACTATTTCCCCAGGGACCGGGGGCCTAAAGGGGAGAGAGGGAACCATGGAGCATAGGCCTGAGGGGTGAGTAGCCTTGAGGGACGATGGGGTCGTCCCTCAAAGCCAAGAGCCTGGGAACAAGGAGGCACCGAAGACTCCCACCCCCGCCACCGGGGTACTCAGACTCACGAGGGCCAGCCAGGGCCTCTGGGATGCGTTCACGAATGATGCGACAGGCATCATACACCATGGTGGATGGCTCGAACTGCATCGTCTTCACCACATTCCCAATGCTGATCTTCAGTGAAAGTGCAACCATGGTGGCAGCTTCTCCTCTCCAGCCTGGCTCGACCTGGCCCGTGGCATCGGGGCGTTAGCACACATCCGCGTTAGAGGGGAGGAGGTCCCCCAGATGGGGCCCCGGGAGGGGTGTTTTTGAAAGGGACCCACCGGAGCAGAGAGTAATGTAGTTGTTTTTATTTAAGAATTTTAAAGAGTGAGAGGTTATTTATACCAAAGGAACCAATCTTCACCACCTAAGATATGTGAAGGAGTCTGGTCTGCAATGCTATGTTCCCTGAGGACGCCATCCTGCCCCTACCACTAGAATCTGTGCCTCGCTTCTGTCTGCCAAGTATCTCCCTCTTGCCCCTTAAGCTGCTCCTTTCCCAGCCCTGCCTCTGCCTTGTTTTCATCTTTTCTTGGTCCAGTCTTTTTCTCTCTTTGTCTCTCACTAGGTCTTGCTGGCTTTTTCCTGTCTGGGATTTTCAGAGCTCTGCCCTGACTCATCATGTGACCTCCCCTCTGACAGCTTTAGCCTCCTTCTCTGCAAAATGAGGACGTTATGTTAGGTAATTCCCAAGAGATCCTGAAGCCTGCAAACACCCACTCTAGCTAGCCCAGCAGGGAGACCAAACCCGGCTGCTTGAGCCATCTAACTGGAGAGGGAGGTGCCTTCCCAGGGAGCCTGGCCCCATATTTGGCTTCCCTGGCAGTCGAGCTAGAATGGATGATTCTCTAATCCAAAAGGATCTCAGAAATTACTAGTCAACTCCTCAGTTTTGTAGAATGCATATCAGACTGTGGTGGGGCAGGCGGGGTAGTTTCAAGGCAGGTCAGAAGAAGAGCCCAGTCCCTCTAACTTGGTCCTTGCTTCAAGTCACCAAGTGAATACCCAGTCCTCGCGACAACTCCTCGCATGCTCTCCCGTCTTCAGTAAGTCCTCAAACTCTGCCATCCGCCTCACTACCTCCCTTGATGGTGTTTTCAGTGCAGCTCAAGATCAGCCCCACCCTGACCTCTCCCACCCTCCTTGGCACCACATCTCAGCAGGCTGGAGGAACCCTTGCAGGTGGCGGCTGGCACCCAGGGCACAATTTGCCTGGCAGCTGATGATGTGACCCAGTTTGGTATAGGGATTGGTTCCTCTCAACTAAGAGAATGAGCAAATCCGGGCTGCCCATTCCCCTCCTGGCAAACCCTCCTTGGCTGGCCCCAAGTGGGAAAACGCAGGACCAGAGGAAGGCTGGAAACAGGTGGGGGTGCTGGGACACAGTAGCCGGTAGAGAACCAGGGAAGTTGGGAAGGGATAGGTTTTTGGAGGGTGAAGAGGTTAGGAAGGATGAGGTGAAAGAGACTAATAATCTAGAAACAGGAGACAGGTCTATGTGGGAAAGGTGTGGATGGGGGATCTGACAGACCGTTTCTGACCTTATAGAACAGTCCAGAGTCTCCCACGAAACCACAGCTCACTCTCTCTCTTTATTTCCAAAGAAATGAGGATTCTTCCAGTCTCCCCAGCTCTCTGCCCACCTCCCCATTCCTCGGCCACCTCTCCCAGTAGCTTGACAGACCTGGCTGTGGGGTTGCTGGAGGGCTGGAGGGTCAGCGAAGTGGAGTCGTCAGAGGACCTGAGAGCAGGACTGAAAGGACCCTCCACCCTAAGTCGAAATTGCACGTCTCCCCCATTTCCTCCGGACATATGAACACCCCCTTCTTCTTCAAGCACGGAAACCTCTGGTGAGACCCCGATAAGGGAGATGAGTCATGCCTACCCTCACTCCCAGGCTGCTCCTGAGTGAGCACCCCCAGAGCTACAGGATGACGAACTGAGAAGTGGGAACTGAGGGTGATGAGGGTAGAGAACAAGGTCCTTGGAAGTATGGGGAGAAGCTATCCAGGTCCCAGTCTGGCCTGAGAACTTTGCTCCCTTTTCCATCATGTTTTATGAAACAGCAACAATGCCCCCCCCAACTCCCTCCCAGGGAACTCCTCCTCCCTCAAGGCATTCCTGAGATGCATTCCAGAGGAGTTGGGCAATGGGGGGGGGGGGGAGGACAAGAGGTCAAATCCCAGCAAGGAATGGAATGTAAGTATACGGAGGGTAAAGAATCTGGGGTACATGGAGAATATAGTCAGAACAGATACCCACAAAGGGAGCTGCAGAAAGACAGGGAGCTACAGACAGGGACAAGGGAGAGAGAAAGCTGAAAACAAAGTCAGAACGTATGAGGGTTGGGGGAGTAACACTCAGTCTGTTACCAAATTTGGCCTCTGAGGCCGCAACCACGGGGGGGGGGGGGGGGGGGGGGGGGGGGGGGAGGTGGTGGTTGTGGGTGAGACTGACATATCCGGCCTCAGGCTGCTGGAGGCTCACTTCGGGCTGGACTGGGCAGCTGAAGGGCTGGACCTGATCTCCCTCGACATAGTCCCTTACCACCTACACCTATTTATGCATATTCATTCTCCCCAACTGCACCCCAGTCTATGCACAGAGCTCTTTACCACAAACCTACTTATACTGTCTCCACATACACGTCATCTCAAACATGCAGTCCCTTACACAGACCCCATCACAACCACATTATCTTCCCGTAAAGACCCCATCCCACGCGCACAGCTCCTCCACAAACACACCTCTATCCGTAAGAGAACAACTTGCCCCAACATCTCTCCTCCCATTAGACATTCTCCTTCCATTCATAGAACAGGAATTTCTGAGGGTCTGTTGTGAAAAAGGCCCCGGGCCAAACTCTCAGTGACTGGGAAGCAAGAAGAGCAAGCCCTCGCCTTCACTTTCAAGGGGCTCCCAGTTAGCTGAGTGGGTAAGCTAAATACAGAATTATAATACAGGGCAGGATGTGGTCAGAGTCAAGAGGTGTGTGCTCAGGGGAGAAATCCCTTTAGGTTAGAGAAGAGGGACCAAAAAGTCTCTGTGAAAAGTGTCAGTTAGTTAGGACTTTAAATAAAGATAATAAAAATCATAAGGATCTACCTTTTATTGACGATTATGTCAATTTCTCTGTATACATAATTTCATTTAATCTTTACAACAACCCGGCAAGATACCATTATAGCCATTTTTACAGGTTAGGAAACTGAGGTGCAAAGACGTTAAACACTTGTTTAAGGAACTTCTCCAAAATCATACAGCTAGTAAGTTGTGGAGTTGTGAAGCCAGGATCCGAACCCACACCTCTCTGACTCCAAAGCCCAAGCTGTCTCCGCTACGCCAGCCGGAGGTGAGTCAGGGGTAGCATTCCAGGCAGAGAGAAGAGCATAAGCAAAGGTGGAGGAGCAGGAAATCACGGAGGAGCATTCAGGGAAGTGAGCAGGCAGGCTGGCTGAAGCACAGGGTACCTGCAAGGGAGCAGCGATGGGGAAATCCGGGTCAGGGTGGAAAGGCAGGGGAGGATTAGAGAGGAAGGAGTATTTTACCTACTGGAGGGCACCAGGAGGCCACGGGAGGCTTTGAGCAGAAAAGGGACAGAACCAGAACTAGATTGTGGAAAATAATTCTGGCAGTTACCTTGGAGACTGGTCAGAAAGTGCATTAGCACAAGTGAGAAGTGATGACAACAGTTAGAACGGTAGAGAGGAGGGTGTCGCTCATTTGTAGTTTTAAGAGGCAGAACTGTCAGGACCTGATGGCAGTCTGTCCTGTCAACCTTCAGGGACCAGGGCCCAAAGTCAGACTGGAGTCCCACAGCTTCTGTCATCAGTAGCCACTCAGTGGCTGGGGTGGCATGAGTTTACATAAGGAATTGGGAAGGGGAGAAGGAAAAGATCAGGTCGAGCTGGGTATATGAAGATGGGGCTCTGGGGCACAGGAGATGGGGACGTGGGCTGCACCAGGTAGGGGCAGAAGGGATGAGGTCAGTGACCGTATCGGACTAGAAATGGGGAAGACGAGGTGTAGAGAAAGGCTGGGGAAGATGGTGACAGGAAAAATACATATATGATCAGTCACTGGATCAGGCTAGGGGAAGGGGAAAAAATAATTATAAGTCAGGGAATGACAGAGCGAGGTCAGAGGTCAGATCAGGCTGCAGGAGGCTGAGAAGAGATGGGGCTGTTGTCAGCGGCTAAATAAGGCTGGGATGGGGAGGAGGGGGAGAGTGGAGGGACACTGGTGGTATATAAGCAGAGCTGGAGTTGGTGGCGGTGGGTGGGTACAGGGCATGACCCGTCACACTGAGGAGGGGACAGTGCTGTGGTCAGTGGCAGGGTCAGGCTGGGAGTGAGATGGGGGTGTGGTCAGTGGCCTGGCTGGGCGTGGGATCAGCAAGACCCAGTTTCCTCTTTGGGTCTCATTTCCTCTTTTCTGTTTGGGGAGTGGGGGAAGGGGATCTACAACTGGACCAAGAACTTAAGGAGGCTTAGCGCCAGGGGCTGGCACATAGCAGGGCCTGGGGGTACTTGACAGTTATGTTGGGCTGGGGGGGGGGCGGGCGGTATTCAGCAGATGACCAGGAGGCATGCAGGTGGGTGAGTGGGGGAAAGTGTGGGAGAGTGCTTTAAGATGATGGGAAAGCTCAGATTTGGGAGGGCAAAATATGGCAGGAGGTGCAGAATCGGATAGGAAGGGAGGAAGAACTGCAGCTGGAAACCGTTGGTAAGATGAACAAGTATGGGAGAGTTACAGATGAGGGGAGAATTCTGTACGTAGGACCGTGCTTGCAGAAAGGGGGTATGCAGGGAGGGTGTGAACTGCAGGGCCAACAAGGACTTAATAACTACAGAATGAGGGAACTGGGAGGCAGTGGGGCTGAACTTTCAGAGGATTCAGTCATCTCTTTCTCCGGTGGCAACAGTGTTTCCGTGGTCAGCCTTCCCTTCATCATAGTCCCCTCTCCCTGAGTAATCCCCCACTTATGACTAGGCCTTGTACATCTCCTGGGTCCCAGTCCCATTTCCACCCCCTGTGTTGTAAACAACATAGTCCACGGACCCCTGTCCCTCAACTGTGGTGACCACAGCAAGAGCACTGGATTTAAAGAGCAGAATAAAGAAGCTGGAATCCCAGAAACCTGCAATTGTAGCTGAAACCCAGAACCCTACCTGAAATTAGTTTATCGTATCTCTGGGCTAGAGAACCCCTGAAACTACGGAGGAATGAGACCTCCCCGCAAAACGAGTGCATGTATCTACTGCCAGTCTCTTAAATTTTATCTGTCCGAGGTCAACTGCCCTAATCTCAACCATGACCCCCCTAAAACTAACCCTAATTCCTGACATTAACCCTGACCCATATTTTGTTTCCTGTTTCCTAATACTGGCTTTAACATTCATCCCTTTCCTAACAGACACCCGTACCCAATCCCTGAGCCCTAATATTGATCTAATTTTTACCTCTAGCACCAAATTCCCCGACCTTAACCCTAAATGTTGATCTCTAAGCCTAAAACTCCTTTGTCACTTGATTCCCGACCCAACCCTTTGCTATTTATCCCGGTACTATGCTACTGTTCTCTAGTCCCTAAAACTGGATTTCTAATTCAATTCCTGTGTTGACCCTTAACCCGGCCCTGAATCTTAACTTTGACTTAACGTTGGCCAGAAAACAAAATAATGACCTAATCCAAACTTTACCTACATAAAACAGACCTGACTCACACTAGTAACTCTAAATTTCCAACTCCGGTTTTATAACTCCTTAAGCTAACCTTGATTCCCAAACCCAACTCCACCTAATCCCAAATTCACCCGAGGCTTTCCTACCCACATACCCGCTATCAGCTAACCTCAAAGCCGATCCCCGCCCTGCGCCTCACTGCCACCCCACTCCTCTCCCTCTTCAAAACTTATTCCAGACAGAGGATTGATCCCAGGAAGGGCCTGTCTCCCTTAAAACGGCCTACTTAACTCCGATCCCAAGCCGAGATACACTGGACGGTGACCTCTCCAACAGGACCCGAAATAGGAGACGCAGAAGAGTCAGGAGACCCCGCCCGCCTGCCCGCCAGCCCGCTTCCCGGGCCTGGCCTTGCGGCCCCACCCTGAGGCTCCGGCTCGGCCCGGCCCGGCCTACCTGCGCTGCCCGGCTCGTGCCCCGCCCGCCGGCCCGCTAACCCGCTCGTTCTCCCGGTGGCAATCGGGCTCCGGCCTCGCCCTCCCTTCGACACTCTCTCGGCCACTTCCGTCCCCGGAACGTCCCCCACCCGCGGGCGGCGCCCTGGGCCCACGCTCTATGGTTGCGGGGACAGGAGGAAGCTGCTCTGGCCCCAGCTCTCGATGCTCGAGAGCCGGCCTTAGACCGGCGGCCCCTCCCCGGCAGGAAGTAAGGGTGCGGCACAATTCGGAGAAAACGCTCTAACTGCGCCCGAGTTCCCTTTTAGTCGCGAACTCTTCCCTTTTTCAGCCGGGGGCCAAGGCGGAGCCCGTCCCCCAGAATGCCCGCCCTCAGGGTGTGAGGAGGCAACAGGGACGGCCCCTCTATTTGCATAGCTCCTGGGACGTGGCGCGCCGCTGCTAGGCCACTTCCGCGTCAGAGGGAACTCCAAGTCCCGGAATGCCTCGGGGGTAGGCGCGTCACTTCCGTGGTGTTGGAAGCTGCGGAGGAGCGAGTCTAGGGAGCTGGTGCGGTTGGAGATCGACTGGTTCAGGGTTGCGGATTGGTGGTGGGGTGAGCGTTTGGGTTTCTGCCCATCCTTCCCGTTGATATCCAGTATGGACCTGGCGTTGGACTTGGGTGACCAGGACCTGCTGGACTTCCTGCTAGAGGAAAGCGGAGATTTGGGGGCCGAGCAGCCCCTTTCCGAGGTGGGTGGGGGCTGTGAGTCGGGGAGGCGCAGGGTTGGGGGGACGGCATTCATGAGGCAGTGGGTAGTAATAGGTCAAGGCTTATTAATTTGAACCCTGTGCAGACGCTGAGTGAATGGGAGGCAGAGGATTTCCTCAGTTCCCTGCTGAGTCCTCCAGCATCGTTGAACGTCCTTAGCTCCTCTGATTCCTGTCTTGTTCACCATGATCATACCTACTCTATCTCACAGCATGTCTCCATAGATCTAGGTGAGTGTGAAATAAGTGAGGTTTGGGCGGAAGACAGGACTCGTGGGCCTGGCTATTTGTACTTTCCCTTTTGCAGATGGTGGGAACTATGGAAAAGAGGGGGCCCAGGCGACTCCACTGCGTGTGGAGGAGCCAGCAGAGCAGGTACTTGATTTATGGCGGGATTATTCACACATTGCACGAGTGGGGGCGGATTCCCCATTCCTTTCTGACATCCCCTTGCAACTCTGCTGCCCACCTCCTGGTAACCCTAGGAAATTGCTAGGCTGATACTGACAGATGAGGAGAAGAGGCTGTTGGAGAAGGAGGGGCTTACTCTGCATGGGACACTTCCTCTTACTAAGGTAAGACTCCCATTGATAGGAGTGAAAGCTGGAGGGGGTTTTTGAGTCCCAAGTACCCACTTCTGTTAATTTTATATCAGGAAGGACTGAGGTTAGAGAACTTAGCAAATTTGTTGCTAATAGGAAGCTGGAACATGTAGTTAAAATGGTGGATGCAGAGGCAGGTCCTGGTTTTGTGGCGCTTTTACAAATTTTTGGTGTTCTAAGAAAGAAGAATTCAAAATCATCAGTGCAACATTGGTATAGGGACTTGGAAGGACTGTGCAAGCAAAGGACCCTGATGCTTAGATTTCACTAAGGGCCTCATCATAATCCACCTATAGTTGAACGGTAGAATTAAGTTTTAGAATTCATCAAGGCTGGACTAATAGCAAGAATAATGGTAAAATCCCAAGTTTTAAGTTTTTAAGTTTCAAGCAACGAGTGGCAGCTTTACAAGCACGGTATTGTACTGTTGTGAAATCAACAGTACAGAAAAGTTGAGAGAATTTTAAGATTTTTTTTTTTGAGAGAGAGAGAATGAGAGAGAGAGAGAGAGAGAGCACATGAGAGGGGGGGAAGGGTCAGAGGGAGAAGCAGACTCCCTGCTGAGCAGGGAGCCCGATGCGGGGCTCGATCCCGGGACACCAGGATCATGACCTGAGCTGAAGGCAGTCGCTTAACCGACTGCCCACCTAGGTGCCCTGAGAGAATTTTAATTTCTTAAAAGTACAAGGTGAGTAGCAGTTTGAGATGACTAAAAAAGTGAGTGGGGTTTGAAGGGTGTATCAATGGAGATGTTGCCTCTAAAAGGGCAGTGACCATCTTATTCTCCTTTATACTGGCCAGAGCACATTTTAGTGTCTAGTTTTGAACCCAGATTTTTGACAGATATTAAGAGGATGCAGTCCATCCCAAGGAGAGAAGATAAAGTGAGGAGTTAAAATTTTTGTCCGGGTTATTTAACTCTGAAGAAATGTTAAGTCCCTTAAAATAGTTAAAGACTGTTCATTCTGTATGGCCTCAGAGATAGGTACTAGGTAAGTCCAATTGATAGAAATCATATGTTGGCTCAGAATAAGGAAAATTTTTTTTTAAAGATTTATTTATTTTAATAGATTGTGCTTGTGCGCACAAACAGGGCAGGGTGGGGGGCAGAGGGAGAGGGAGAAGCAATAAGAATCTCAAGCAGACTCCCCACTGAGCACCACCCCACGACCCTGAGATCATGGCCTGAGCTGAAATCAAGAGTCAGGCTCCCAACCAACTGAGGTACCTGGGCAAGGGTTGTTTTCTCTTTTCTTCTTTTTTTTTTTAATTAATAAAACTGTTAAAAATGGTCTGGCTTGTAAGGATGTTAACCCCTGGCCTTCAGAGGCATTCAGAGAGAAGCCAAGTGCCTTTTGGTCAGGGAAGCTGTAGAAGGGATTCCTGCATTGAGAAGATTGAACTTAGTTGCCTTCCAACTCTTTGGTCCAGTGTTCCTCTGATGAAGATCTCTTTTCTATCTTCTCTTAGATGGAGGAGCAAGTTCTGACACGAGTGCGGAGGAAAATTAGAAACAAAAAGTCTGCTCAGGAAAGCCGCAGGAAGAAGAAGGTGTATCTGGGAGGTTTAGAGAGCAGGTACAAAAGGGAGAGGGATGGAGCGGGGGGGGGGGGCGCAGAGCTAGTTGGAAGTGTTGGGTTTTAAAGGGGGGCACAGAACATATCCCCGTGTCCTGTTACTCCCCCAGGGTCTTGAAATACACAGCCCAGAATCTGGAGCTACAGAACAAAGTACAGCTCCTGGAGGAACAGAATTTGTAAGTAACTCTCTAACATCAGTCCCTCCTCCCTCCTGTTTTATGCTGTCTCATTCCTTCCCCTGTTCCACACTGGGCAGCTCCTACATGCAAGGTCTGGTGCTTGGCCTTTAGTGGATCTGATTTCAAGAAGCTTACAGTAGTGGGGAACAAATTCACAAGTAATTAAGTAAGTTAAATATCAGAAACAGAGAGGAGGGAGTCAGAAAGACCCCATGGAACCCCCCCACACACTGTTGGTGGGACTGCAAGCTGGTGCAGCCACTCTGGGAAAACAGTATGGAGGTTCCTCAAAAAGTTGAAAATAGAGCTACCCTACGACCCAGCAATTGCACTACTGGGTATTTACCCCAAAGATACAAATGTAGTGATCCGAAGGAGCATGAATCACAGACCTGTACCTCTGAAACAAATGAAACAATACATTATATGTTAATTAAAAAAAAAGAAAGACCCCCTGGGGCTGATGACATTTGATAGTAGATAGGATTCTGGGGTGGGGATCGGGATAGGGAGCACTCTAGGCAGAAAGAGCACGGCATAGTGCAGTCTGGCTGGAACCTTAACATAGGTGAGTTGAGTCAGAAAGAGAACATCGAATGCCCGGTGAGGATTATGTGCATAGCTGATGAGGCAGTGTAGAACCACTGAAGGTATTTGCAAAGGAGTTTAAATCAGGTCAGGACAGAAAGGTGTTTGTTTTAATGAGGAACTTCAGGCATTTTGTCCACGGAGAGGAAGAATCATTTAAAGATAGGCCGAAAAGCAAAAGAGATTAATTCAGTGCACAGGTGGAGGGGTGGCCTTAACAGGAAGATTTCATTGTATCTCAGGGTGCCAGGCCAGGGACTGCTCACTGTCCCCTTTCTTCTTCCAGGTCCCTTCTGGACCAGCTGAGGAGACTCCAGGCCATGGTGATTCAGGTGTCAGACAAAACGAGCAGCACCAGCACCTGCGTCTTGGTGAGGATGGTGATGGAAGGAGAGATCCTTTTCTCAGGTGGCAGGGACAGGGCTGCAACCTAGAGCCCTTCGTTTTTTTTCCCCCCGTTCTCCAGGTCCTACTTTTCTCCTTCTGTCTGCTCATCGTACCTGCTATGTACTCCTCTGACACAAGGGGGAGCCTGCCAGCTGAGCATGGAGGTGAGAGGCTTGAGAATACCATTGAGGAAGGGCTAGTGGGGAAGCCTGGCGGGTCCTTGAGGAGTCTGTTTCCTTAGTGTTGTCCCGCCAGCTTCGTGCCCTCCCCAGTGAGGACCCTCACCAGCTGGAGCTGCCTGCCCTGCAGTCAGAGGTACCAAAGGACAGTTCAGACCAAGAGATCCAGGCTCCTGGCAACTCTTGCTGCCTGCTCTACCACATGCCTCAGGCTCCTGGTGCTGAGCCTCCCCTGAAGTTGCCACTTCCTGTCCCTTCCTCAAAGTCCCCCTGCCCAGGTCCCGCGCTTCCCCTGCATGCAAATTTCACAAGAGATGGGGCATGGTTCCCTACTCACAGCCCCACATCTGTTATCCTACAGGGCAGATATTCAGGCTAGATTTGGGGGGGGGGGGTGCTATGCCAGAGCCTGCGGTTCCTAGTCTGTGTCCAAATGAAAGGAATGGGAGAGGGCTAGTGTGAGCTCATGCGTCCTGTGTCAGGAAGCCTGAGAGTTCAAACACACCACACTTAACTGGCTTTCTGGGTCTTTTATTTGTACCCATGTAAATCTACCACCCCTTGAGTGGGCCTGGGGGAATCAACCGACCTCGTTAAACATTTCATGCAGTGAGGGGATTGGGTGAGGAGAGAAATAAATAAGTGATTCTGATGCTTGGATCACCTTCAACCCCTCTTTACTGGCACGATTGGGTGGGGAGAAGGGAAGGGGCATGATTGTCTTGGTGGCTCAGGGTTGCAGGAGACTGGGGGGCGGGGAGCAGTGGAGAGGAAGAGGAAAGGCCAGGCTGGAGGCTGGGCTTGGAGAGCCTCCCTCCCACAGTTCAGAGGGCTCACTTTGGGTTTGTTGTGGCTTCCTTTGGTCCAGGGTTAGGTCCTGTGCTTAGTTCTGTGCCTTGTTCGGCTACTGGCTTGGAGGCCTTTCTGTGCTGCTGCTGCAGGGCCAGCTGCATGGCCCAGATGCTCAGCGGTCGCA